TGGTGCTCTGCAATTTCTGTCAAATAAGAAAACAAAAACAAGAGAAAAATCAACACTCCTCCACAGTCCACACACTCACTTGCAAATCTAATCTGTGATACTTCATATGCATTGTCAAGTATATGTACAATGCAGTGAGTGCAACTTACTACAGTTCTTTGACATGTGAATTATAATGTGCTGAATACGAATGCTCTACATTCAGAATCACTGCATTTTAATAATTTGCAACAAAACAGGAACTAAGCTTTATTATCAACTTCACCACAGAAATCAAGTTTGAAAATGTAGTCACATGAAAATGTTAATTACACAATCATCTCTGTTGTTCATTGTAAATGGGTTTTTTAAAGAATGCATGTAGCAATTCCTCAGAAATGATTTACTATCTATTCCTGCCTTTAAAGAACTTGATAGAGAACACAGAAGAAAGAGAGCTTCAAACCTTTTAGCTTCCTGAAGACGAGCCCAGCCACTTCCAAGGAAGACACAATGTTCTTCTTATTGTTGGCTTCAATTTCAAATCCAGCTAGTCCCTTGCTCTCTACAACCTTGAAGGGAGACTGTCTCTTCAAGTCCTGAATAACCTGATCTTCAAACTTCCTGCCGACGATATGCTTGACTTGCATGACTGTGTTGACTGGGTTGCGCATTCTCCCTTGCTTGGCAGACAAGCCAACAATCTGACAAAGACAAATAAAAACATATCACATCAAAAATTCCATGACACATAAATCTGACAATTGCTCCACAGTTAATTTCTTATACTAACCAAGTTCAGATCTTCAAACTTGGACTACACCCAAAACCTAACCTTATATTTTTGACATACCGAAGGTATTACAAATCTGGACCGAATGTCACCAAAGCTAATATAGGGTCGCAAATATTGAAATGTGAGTTTAAAAAAGGGTCACAATACAATGGTCATTCCACAAACTGCAGCATAGTTTCATTTCTATACTAAAGAAAAAGTATGATATCGTCCAAATTAGTAGTTGGTTTATCCTTAAAGAATATTTTACTGACTGCATGGAACAAAGCCCTGATAATGATCATGATAAAATTTTAAACAGTTGCTTAAAGCTAAAGACCAGTTATGGTCATGCAATTGCATAGTGAAAGAAACGTTGTGAAATCGATCAGAAAAGGTTGATCATCTAGCATAGATGTACTGCAAGGTTCTGGAATCATCGAAATTATAAGAAATTTGGCCAAGTCTTCATAAAGTTAGAAGCACTGTACAAAGAAAGATGTATATGGGACTACACATACATGCGCGACACACGCATTTGTATCTCTCAACAGGCAAGAGATATACTAATTTACCAAATATATCAATTAGTAGGCAGTTTCCCGTCAAAATTGTTATCGTCATGTAATATTCAAAACATATTCTTTCACATGATTGGTAATAAGAGCTTCCATTTCATTTTTTGAAATTGGGGCGTTTCCAATACTGGTCTTTACCTTTAACCCTTACATTGTTTGACTTTTATTCAAAATTTGAATTAGAAAGTGTAAATAACACACTTTTTGCATAGCTTGGTCCAATAGATTGATTCCACTTAAGAAAAATTACACTTGTGCAGCTTCTGGTAGTGCAAAGTCAACTGTAATTTACCTTTTCATTATCGGTAAATGCAACAGCAGTAGGTGTTGTTCTGTCTCCAGCATCATTGGCAACTACTTCTGTCTTTCCATCCTGCAAACCAAACAAACAAATCATAATTATAGATTTAACTTTACATTGAATTTATACTAATACTATAAGTTGATTTGTATGAAAGCAGAAAAATAACAGAAGCAGAATGGCATAAGTTTGAAATGAATTGGACCAATCGTAAGGAAGTAAGTTGAGAATGTTTAAAATATGAGATCACAAATCTCAAATTAGTAGTTGGGTCAGAGGATTGTGACGTAGGATGTGGATATAACTCTCCCATTTTCTGTGTACTGGTACAAGAATATCTTTTATTTCTGTTTTTCTTGTAAGTTCCTTCTTACTTGGGGCACTACTCAAAATATATTATAGATAGCAAATTATTAATATATTATAGGTCCTCTAAAAAGAATGGACCCTCCTGAGCAATGAAATGTTATATGTTGGAACAGATGAGAAAGTAGTCTGGCACTACATCACATTGACATTACTGCTTCAGCCAATTTGAAGTGCCCATACATACAGTATAATGATTACAACTTTAAAAAATTCATAACTTTCTTATATTTAGTCAGATTTAATTGAAACTTTCATCAGTTTGCTTTCCTAATTTTTCTGCTTTCTTTTAGAGTAGTTGTCTATTTGGGTTGGATTTCCCTATTAAGCACCAAGGTTGTGATAATAAAAAACTTTGGTGTTTCTATTCTGATTGTTTTAAAACCTTTTGGTTTTAACAGAAACATGCTGAAAATCTGGGTTGGCAGTGAGAGTAAAAACAAAAAAATGTTTTAGAAAGCGAGGTGCCCAGCGCTAGCACACGAGGCCTTCAAGCAAGTCATGAAAATACGGCACCTCACCCCCTTGAAGTAAAACGATTAAAATAAAATATATTTTTGGCATTATTAACCCTACAAAATGATATTTATATCATTTCTCACCCATTTTACTTTTTAGTGATTTAACCTATATAAAAATTTGGCCTGGGAGTAGGACTCTATGGGTAGGGTGTCTGATCGCGCACTTGATTTTGTGTACTAAAATCCTTCCCATAGAGATTACACGCATCCCTATGCAGTCTACGTGCATTGCGGGATCATGCAAAATTGGTCAATGTTTCAGAATTATCTCACTGAAAAGTCAAGAACACTGACGATGTTCTTGATTGTAGTTACTTTCATTTTGCCAGCCGTCAATCTAGCGTCGTTTTGGCAAAAAGCTAGCCCGTTACCTTCCCCTGTGGACCTTTTGAGTCCCTGTAAATAGTATGCTTCGAATCTCTGAATGACCTGTTGTCTCGTCAACACCCTCAGCCCACTAGCTTCCCACCACGGACCATTCGTGGTATTCGAGAACGCACGGAACGCAACCGTGCACATCATTTTCAGCTGTCGAATGTCTAAGGACATTTTTACATTTACGATTTTTAGGACAGATACTTGGTCAGTTTTTTTCTTATATCTTTGGTTTACAACAATTAAAAATATAATTTCTTCAAATTTGCTCCTGACTCGGTTCAGACTAATTGCCTGATGTGTTTTCAAGTCAATTGAATTTTTTGCATGAATTTGCCTAGAGTAAAGGAGGGGGTAAACGACCAGCTCCAGTTTTTGGCCGATCCGTTGGATGCATGGTAAAATCCCTTTAAAATACATCGCATAATAGCATATCACATATCCCACACATACCATACCATGCCAGAGTCACTGAAGAACCACATTTGCAATGGAAAATATATCCTAAAATATCACATTTTAGCGATGTAATCGGCAGTCCCGCTACCCAAATCTGAAAAATTGAGTTTCTTACGCGTGTATGTTAGAAATATGGGTACCATAAAATGAGCTTTATTTCAAGTATTTTTCAGATTTGGAGCCCGATTTTGTGTTAGTTGCAAACTCAAAAGTATCTCATCGCATGTATTAAATCAATGCAGCCGGACTCCACAACGCACACACAATATGTCTGTCTAATCAGATTCCAACTTCCGATCACTGCAGTGCTAGTCTTCGACCAGGCGAGCACCCGGGAGCTCCGGCGTGGGATACCTGCTCCGCCCGCTTGTGCTATAGATCAGCGCGGAAATGTACGGCGCGCACGCTTCCTATTGAATTTGTACATGCAGTCGTAAACTGAATCGCTAGGTCGATAACTGGCTCCAAAACAGTGAAAATTGAAATGAATATTGTCATGGCAATTCGTGATTTTTTTCTGGGATTCTTTTTTTGTTTAAATAATAATAATATTTGCTTCTTGATTTGAACAAGAATGATAATAAATAGGAAGTAAAGAGTCCGAAAAATAGGATTTTGTCTTAAGTGGCCGAAAACCCCCTCCTTTCAGGAAGCGCGCACGCGCGCGCCATGCGTTTCCGCGCTGATCTATAGTACTAGCGGGCGGAGCAGGTATCCCACTAGTACTGCAGTGATCGGACATTGGAATCTGAATTAGACAGAGATATTGTGTGTGAGTTGCGGTGTCCGGCTGCATTGATTTAATACATGCGGTGAGATACTTTAGAGCTTGCGACCAGCTCGAAATCGGGCTCTTAATCTGAAAAATACTTGGAATAAAGCTCATATTTCTTACAGACACGGGTAAGATACTCGCTTTTTCAGATTCGGGTAGCGGTATATAATTTCCATTGCAAATGTGGTTCTTCAGTGACTCTGGCATGGTATGGTATGTGTGGGATATGTGATATGCTATTAGTCTATGTAATGTATTTTAAAGGGATTTTACCATGCATCCAATCAATCGGCCAAAAACTGAAGCTGGTCGATTACCCCCTCCTTTAGGCCTACTCGTCTCTAGTTAATATGATGGGTCAAATTTTAGATAGACTTCTAAACTAGCGCCGAGTTTTGTACAGTAGTGTTTGTAATGATGAGAATCAATAGCACAGCTTTTTATACACAGCCAGGATAGTAATGCAGCTTGAGTCTATGTGTGATCTACATGTAGATGGCTAGTACAATAGATCTAGATCTAGGCCTACACAGTTTTAGACGTACGGGACTGAGATATAGATCTACACACGTGCATCTAGACAAACTGAACCGACTACCTTTTCTAAATCATCACTACAACAGTATCACATCGAATAGCCAATACTTCCATGCAAATACTCGATTTCGATTGATCCAAATAAGTCATTTTATTAAAAGTCATACCTTGTGAATGGCGACACAAGAAGTCGTTCCGCCAAAGTAAATTCCTATGGAGGCTGCCATTTTGTTGAGCGACATAAATGACCTATATATTACGTCAGAGCTGTTCACCAATCAAGGATCGCCAAATGTACGAGAAATGTACACGTGTAAACAGTCGTCAGCTGCTCACCGGTACGTCTTCACCGTATTCTGACAATCAGAAAACCCCGAGCTCACCGGGCTAGAAGTGACCAGAAGCCGTTCAAGAAATTGAAGTAAACCGTGAGCTTGACATAATCGCATTATTTTAGTGCCAGTGGAACAAGTATCCCGAAATCATGAAGTGCTCTCCACAGGCAATGTGCTCAGCACTTGTCTTTCTATCAGTTATACTGATGAATTTTCTTGCAGAAGCCAAAATAAAGAAAGGAGAATGTGATGGTGAGTATAGGGTGTAGATCTAGATCTAGATCTATTTCTAACTGCTATTCCAAGTAGGAATAGGGGTCTAGATCCTAGTCAAGAAAAGTATTGTAATTTGTTGACTACTTTTTTAACTGGTGTCTATGACTTTATAATAGCTAATGTCTATCATGACCATGCTCCCTGTGCTCTAAAAGTAATAGATCTAGGCTAGTCTACTAATGGACTCGAGGACAAAATAAAAAATAAAAGATGACCTGCCATTGAATGTCTACTATTCGCTGTTGTTTTGCTATTGAGATATGTAACAAAGAGGGAATTGGTAGGGTATCATCATCATCATCATCATCATCATCGATATAAGGGAGTGAGGTAGTCCTGTAGGGGATGTTGATTACAGATCGATGAGTGTCTTTTTACCTTGCCTGATATTTCGAAATTTCATACTTATTTTCCGTACATTATACTTGATTGAAATCTTTAATTTTTTAATTTGCTTGTGTGAAATCTATTCTTATACGCATGTATAAACAAAAATTAAACTGTTTTTTTTATGTAAAATGTGGAATAAATAAACTTCAAACTTCAAACCTCCAGTTAAAACTCAGACAAGTATTTTGGAAGACCAACCAACCAAGTACCAAGACTGTGTATGCTTGTACTAGTTGTAGGTAATGCAGAGGACAGACTGTTTAAATCAGGTAATAGGTCTAGACCTAATGCACTGTAGTAATAATTATGAGAGGAAACTAAATCTAAAAATGCTCAACATTTCACATTTGTCTTATGTTTCTTTTCATACGCAGTGTGTATTTCTGTTGTCAAACACCTTGAAAGCCTGATGACAAATGAAGACAGAAAAAGTGAAGACAAGATAGAGAAGAAGATTCGAAAGTACTGCAAGGATGCCAAAGGAAAAGAAAACCGATTTGTAAGTACTTGAAAAAGATATCTTATGTATGTACTCTACCGGTATCTGAAAGCATTTGCTCAGATGCATCAGATTTGTAGCTCTATTCATGCCTGTCTCTGCCTCCCCCCCCCCCCTTCTCCCTTTCTTTAATCTCTTCCTTTGTCTCTTTTGAGCTGTGTAACCCAGTTCGCTTTTGTCTCAGCCAATGTTATATGTTACGAATCTGAGATATAGGCCTTTTAATAATTTTCTTTGAATAAAAAGTAATATTAGGCTACTTTCATTTAATAATTTTTCCAGTTTTTTTCATACTTCTTGTTTATATATATTTGTTAACTTACCAGAGCTGAATCTGCTTCTTCCAGTTTATATTTTCCTGCTGGATAATCTTTAGTGCATCATGACAATTGCAAGAAAATTTGTGAATGTTAATTTAAATCTTTTTTCTTTCCTGCCAGTGTTACTACATGGGAGGAACTGAAGATGCTGCAACAGGCATGTTAAATGACCTTGTCAAGCCACTATCAGTACCTCTACCACCAGAGAGAATATGTGATAAACTCAACAAGAAAGATAGTCAGATCTGTGAGCTGAAGTATGGTGAGTTTGGGCTTTTAATAAATAAAAACTCATTATAAAGTCTGGATCATAAGAAATGGAGTCGCCTACCCCACCCAATATTCTCTCCCACCTTAGATGATATGTGATGAACTAAACAAGACAGTTAGATGTGTGGGCTGAAGTATGGCGAGTTTCGGCTTTTTTATAAATGAATAAGATGACCAAAAGCCAATTATAAAATCTTAATCACAAGATAGGGGGTCTCTACCTACCCCCACCACCCCATGCTCTTCCACCATAGAACTTATATGTGATAAACTCAACAAGAAAAACAGCTACATGTGAGCTGAAGTGTGATCATTCAGTAAATGTGAAATCTTGATCTTTTATGATATTGCTGTGTGATGTTACCATTGTTTTTTAATATATTGCTTTTGTATTTTTGATGATGGTATTATTATATTGTAAATCTCTTAATACTGTGTACAAAATACACTATCAGCCTTGAACTGCATGTCTTGTTGTGTTTTAAAAAAAAAACACAATTCAATACCTTGCCATCTCTATCTAAGAGAGCCAGCACCCCCCCCCCCCCCCTCCCTTCCTTTGCTTTCACCTCCATTCTCATCTGTGAATAGTGTAATTGTACATGTACTATATTATAGATGTCAAGTGTTTCTTACCATTGTAGTACAAAGAGAGTGTGAGAACGGAGGTTACAATGTAGTTCAAAACTCTGCCCAATTTTGTCCCTTTAGAGGAGAACATTTATCTCACACTATGAATGGTTCAGCTTACCGGGTAAAATAAATGATCAATTTGATATTGGTTTGGTTAGAACATGAAAGGGATGGATAAGAATAAAATTCTAAACACACACAAGCAAATCACTATTGTCTGATTAGTTTTGATTATGCTTACAACATGTATACCATAATTAACCAGTTTGTAATTTGGGGTTAAGAAGGATATTGAACACTAAATGTTTTACATGTATTTATTGCTTATTTCTATCATAGTTGTTTTTTCTACTTTTTTTGTATGAGGAAGTACTGTATCATATGTCAGTTTCCTGATCGCCGCAAAGATGTTGCAAAGAACAAATCAGATTCACATTAATATCCAATATTCTGACAAACATGAGTTGTGCTTGTTTCTTAGATCGTTATCAAGTTTATTTCCTGATAGATAGCGTCCCCCCTCCCCAAAAAATTCTTCCCTAAAAATCATGGCTCTTCAAATGCCTTCATATTATGTTACCAGCAGCGGATCCAGGGGGCATGGGCCCCCACCCCTGGCTAAAAAATAAGAAATAAACTATTGCTCATAACCCCTGCTTATTTACCAGCTGATTCACTGCAAAGTATTTTCTCACGAATTGGCCTGCATGTAACAGCTTAAAAATGTTGGCCTCATTTTTATGCCACATGTTTGTGTAGTCCCGTTTACATCTTTCTGTGTACAGTGCTTGTTTCTTTTACCAAGACTGAGCCAAATTTCTTGTCATTTTGATGATTCCAGAACCTTGCAGTTCACACCAATACTTATATGCTACATGATCAACTTTTTCTGATCAATTCCACACCGTTTCTTTCACAATGCAATCGCATGACCAGAACTCAAATTTATCTTTAAGCCTAGAGTAGTCTAGCTCTGTCAGTCCCTTGCTGTGACAAATAGAGTACAGAGCCCATGCAGAGTCTCTTATTGCAGACATTGTTATGTACAACGTCTGACAAGGAATTAAGCCTGCAAACTAGGAGAATGTGTCATACACCCCCCCCCCCCCCCCCCCCCCCCGATCCTTCCTTTTCCATAATTGAGGGTCTATTTTAAGCATAGTAAATCATGTTTGCTGGAAGTAATAACCCATATTTTATTCTTTTTCATTTCACTTTTTCAGAGAAACAAATTGACTTGGATGCTGTCGATCTGAAGAAACTCAAAGTGAAGGATCTGAAGAAGGTTCTGAATGATTGGGGAGAAGACTGCAAATCGTGCATAGAAAAGAATGACTTTGTAAAGCGTATCGAGGAACTCAAACCTAAGTATGCGAAAAAGCAACCAAAGGAAGATTTATAACTTAGGCTGTAAATGGGTTTAGGTTATTTATTTGAAAAATTTGTATTGTGTATTTGTTATACATTAATTATTCATTCCTGTTGAGTACCATACAGATGTTGAGTAACTGTTTGTATTATATTCAAGATGGATATTGGTATTTCTTCACACGCACATTCAAGATTTACTCTTTTAGTGACTCTTTTTGAGAGGAACTATAACTGATGTTCCATTCATCTCACAACTGTAAATGTGAGTCGTTGTTGTAAAATCAAGCACCAAAAAATACATACGAATCTGTTTTAATTTACAACATGAAAATAAATTCTTATCTCTAAATGTACATGCATCTCTCTTATCTGCAGGAGGATCAATGTAATCTTATTTTTGTGTGTGAAAATCACATGAAGGGTAAATCTTGAATGTGTTTTTTTTTTTTAATACAGATGTGAAGTTTTGGATTCAAACTTATTCATTAGGCCAGGCTCTACACTAACATTTTTCTGGGGGAAGGGGGGTTAAGATTGAAGTTTTTATAATCTGTATGGATATGCCTCCTAACGACAACTTTTTGTTTCCAAAAAAAAAAAAGCTTTGGGACCCAGAGGATTTTTTTTTTGGTGGGGGCCTGGGGGGCATACGTGCATGCATTAGAACCCTGTTAGTGTAGAGCCCTGCATGAGAAACCTGTAATGAGCTGTGATGGAATATGATTTCTTATCGTAATTTATTGGCTACGAGTACTTCTTTTATGATACATATTTGAAGGTTTTGATTATCTTCCAAAATCTTGTTCAGAATAAAAGGAGACATAATCAAAGAGTGAGTGTATCATTATTTATGCTTTCAACGGAATGACCTTACTTTTGTGAGCATTTGTTGGGTAAGAGTTTATGTTGTTACTTGAAAGATAAGGGTTTGGTTTATTTTGGTACATGTACTGTGTAATAATTCTTTTATTTGAGCCCAAACTTCTGAGACTTTTGTCTCTAAATTTTACTCATGGAATTGAGAGCTGGTTTTTGACATGTTTTTCAAGATAACTGCAAGCAAGTTGCATGTCAGACAAGCTTGATGTAAAAAGATATTGTATTAGATTTTGTCTTTCTTTTTTAGAATTATTTATACATGCATTTTCAACTTTGATTCCCAAGATTTTTGACATACCTTTCAATTTAAGTACACTTTTCACTGTATTCTTACTTTTATTCATACATGTAAGGTTCACTTTGTCTGTTCTGATGGACAAATACGTTCAGAATTATCTAACAACACAACTCCTACAAGACTTCAGCCTTTTGTGGTATTACCACTGATCTTTACAATTATCAAGTGAAGAAAAACAAGAAGATAGATTAATAGATTATATAGGAATGGGAATTAATGGCATAAAGCTATAAAAATGTGAATTTTACTTGTTTAACCACTTTTTTATATTTCAATTGCACAAACGGATGATGATGTAAATAAATGTAATTACCGGTATGTATGGTACATGTACTTCATGTTGCATTATGTTATGGATACATTTGAATTTTGTTTCCTAAAATACATGTAATCTATAGAGCTTTATTCTTAAATGTAGCTCAGGGCATCCATCTTGTTGGGTTTGTATGTTTTACATGTATTGCATTTAAATGTTATTTTATTTAAATGTGGGGTTTCTGCTTTCTTTATTCCGGAGCATTTAATTTGGTTCAAGAGAAGACTGTTTACAAAGGAAATAATAATGTTTAAGCATTGAAGTGCAAGTTTTAAGACTATACAGTATACACATACAATAAATTAAATTGTTAAATTTAACATCGGATAACAGAAATCAAAACTTTAATGTACACAATTTGTAGATACCAGAGGGAATTTAACCAGACTAGCTCATATTTGAATTACATATTTGTGGAGGTGAAAGAGAAAAGTTTTTATTCAGAAAATTTTCTTTTTCAACACAATCGTATAATAATAATTTCTCTCACCGATTGTGTAAAATGAATGTTTCGAAGCCAAGTAACACGGTTCCTAGTTTTTGTCATTTCCAAGACATAAAATTGCTTTGGAACTACATGTACATTACTTGTACATGTAGTTGTATCACTATATTTTATTGACTGTTACACTTTAATTTCTATTTTTTCAAACCCCAAAATGAGAAATAAATCAAAGGAGGAAGGCAGAACGAAGGAAATGGAAAGAGATAAAAAACTAGGAATCATTTATACTTGGCCTTAATCTTTTCAATAAGTTTAATCTTTTTAGTGATAAGAGAAATTATTGTCTTGTACATTACTACATGGTATTTAATGTGTAATATTTAAAAAGTGTCCTTGTACTTTTCCTGAGCTAAGAATGAAAATTAATGTGTTATCGGAACTTGCATTTTGCAACTGACAATTAAACTACAAAAAAAAACTACTTACATGTATTTGTATTTGAGTTCATTGTAAAATATTTATATTGAATACATGGAAAACACATCAAAAGAACAATTCTGCATATATGTGTACAACTGTACTTGTACAATTTTAGATATTAACCCCCCCCCCCTAAAAAAATAAAATAAAAATAAATTCATTCAATAACACAAATGATGACAATACATGAAACATTCATACCATATTTTCTACAATCAACAAATCATAGGCTGGAAATGAGATAATGTTTTTATTTTTCCTCATCACTTCTACAATTACAAATCAGTCTGAAAAGAAAATGGTGGTGGAAGATCAAAGTGATTGACAAAACTATCGTAGAGAATAAGAGGTAATTGCTTCCTGCAATAGCTTCATAGATGACAACTGCATGATATTTGACTACCTACACTATGTATTCATATTTTCTCAAATGTTAGTGATGGCTTTAAAGGCCCACTGCACTACTTGTAGCTACTTGCGCCCTCTATATAACAAACAATGTCTAATCAGTGACCATTGGTCCCCCATGATCCTCTTTTTCTTATGTTAACTGAGAGCTGAGTTGATGAGATAACCACCTGTCCAGTGACCATGCTGGGCGCTCTAATCCCTCCTGTAAACTATGGCAGATAAGCTTTAACAAACCATTATTTGTTTTACCAACTCCACAACTTTGACATTGGTATAAATTATATACCGGTACATGTAATTGAAAGATTCATAGGCCATTTCAATTAAACCTGTACTAAGTAAAGTCAGTAATCAGTCTACAAGTGGCCTACTGAACTTACAATGAACAAATTATTTGATTGATTCAATATATGTTATTCTCGAAATATGACCACACTTTTGCTCTCAAAACGTGTCATTCACAATGCAACTGCTGGTAAAGTTACTGTGGAACATTCAAAAGAAACAGAAGTGAAGTATTCACACAGACCTACGACATGATAAATATAATCTTTCCATTCTGAAATAAGCTTGCTTGCATTGTCCAGTAAGCTGCTGGGAATACTGAAAGAGTAAATAACATGATTGCCGTTTTCAAAAATGGTACAAGATGTGCCAACATTCACAGAATCGGATGTATACGGTTTTACCACACAGTCACATTTACATTTGAACACATGGAGAGGAGTGTGAGCTAGGCAGTTGTCCTGAATATCAACTTGATACCAGTACAATACTGGATATCCAAGGAGAAGGCCAAAAATTGTAGAGACATTCCAATCGTCTTCAAGTTGAAGCGTCAATATTAGATCTCCAGAGCTATGCCTAGGGTCAGCAAATCCAGCTTCAACTTGTCTTAAAATGTCCTTAGATATTATCATCATCTCCTCAGTAATCTTTCTGTCTGCCAAGGTCGGATTTGGTAGTTTCCCACTAACATCTATGAAGGTACAAACTCGTTCACTTAGGTTATTTTGTTCTGACCTTGCATATTCATCAGTCAGTTTTGAAACAAACTGCACAAGTTTCCTTTTTATAATTTGCTTGTTGATGACAAATATGTCGTCCTTAACATTCAATACACCAGTTGTTCTAATCCCCGAATTTACCGTACTATCCTGTTTATCAACACGACCATTATCAATTTCAACTGATGTGGAATGCTCGACTTTCTTTGGTTGGCACTTCGAGTTGCACATGGATTCCAGTTCAGCAGCAAGTTTGTCCAGTGATTTTGAATCGCATGTTGAATAATCATACAGAAAACATGGTTTTATCCCTCCAATTACCGCGATGATATCACTTATTATATCCTTCCATCGTCTACCAGCTGTTTTCCCCAAGTAGAATGAAACCTGCTTCCGAAAATCCATTCTAAAACATGGAAATATGTTTTTGTAAATGTAAGTTAGTGGGACCACACTGTATGATAGGGTAACCAAAGTACGTGCGTTGATCCTGGCCGGAATCACGTAGATTATTGGTATCCGAAAAAGGCCAATTTAACGGTGCCAACTTAATGATGACTTTATGAAACTAGCGATTCATTATAGTGTAAAAGGCATGGAGATTGTCGCCGAATGCGAATCCCACTGGTGCGAAAGAGCATTATTCTAAAAACGTATCCGAAGTATATTCATTTTTTTTACAGGACAAGTTACGTAGTCTCTCATCCAGGGTCATTATTATATTTTTGTTTCTAAATTTTTCCTTTCTTGTTTGCTTCAGTGTTAGAGTATTTTTCGGAATTGTGTTGACCATCGGTCGAGTGCTGTAATAGTAAACAAATCCTGGCTTCATGCACGGTATCAGGGGCGGGGGGGGGGGGGCGTTGGGCGGTGGGGGCGGGTGGAGGCGGGGAACGTTTTTTTTTTGGGGGGGGGCACGTCTCCCCTCAATTTTTTTAAAGGGGGATCGTCCCTCCCCCCTCAAAATTTGAAAAAGTGCCCCCGAAAAAGGTAGCAAATAATAAAGACTGCAACAAACTTAGGTTCTGGAGGGCCCAAAAGTGCAGCGTGTAGACAAATAAAAATGCAAAAATCTTTTCACCCGGAAGCTACGCTCCCTTGCATAATAACCTTCTAAATGTATAAGTAAATACTGAGCAAAACGAAGTGTGAAAAAAGTTTATTGCTTGTTTTTATACTATAGTTTTGCTAAGAAATGTAATTTTTTAATACAACCAAAACTTTAAAAATCCGTAAGGGGTAGTCCCTCTCATTCACTATGCTCCCTCGAAATTGCGTATTGATGGGGGGGGGGGGGCTTTGGGGAAGTCCCCCCTCAAAAAAAATTCATTCAAACGTGGTTTATTTCTAATTCGATATCAGTGATTTACAAATGTTGCTGAAATGGCATTTTTCCTGACTTTCCTTGGGCTCTGCCCCCTGGACCTTACGGTCCACTTGCTTCGCTCGGCTTGATCTACCTGATCGTAAATACTTTAGCCAGGATCTGCGTAACATGTAAGAGTGATGGTGATGCCGGTTCTTTTCTGCCCCCCCAAACGTTTTTCCTCATTACGCCACTGCTCCCTCGTCCCTCGCATTTTGCCCCCCCCCCCGGTCTTGAAAGGAAATCGCCGCCCCTGCACGGTATGCACCATTATCAAATTCTATCTAAACAAAATAATGTCACTGCATCATTCTAAATTCAGTCAGCCTCTTTTGGGCTGCCACGCAAAATAATGTGGAAAACTTTGCGACATTTTAGTCAGGATGTTAAAGCCCGTCTGTACTATTTTGGCCAGGGGGGGGGTTAGACCACACAGCGTGGTCACTGACAGGTGGCTATCTCATCAACTCAGCTCTCGATTAACATAACAAAAAGAGGATCATGGGTGACCAACGGGCACCGTTTAGGCGTTGTTTTCTCTCCAGAGGGCAGTGGCGGATCCAGGGGGGGGGGGGGGGGGGGGGCCCGGGCCCCCCCCCCCCCCCCCTTGAGAAAAAAATCATGTAAAATCACGTGATTTTTACCTTTTTTTGAGGTTGGGCCCCCCCCCCCCTGGCGCTCAAGGGGGGGGGGGTGCAAATTGAAATTTTTTCGAGGATCAAAAAAAAAAAGTTGGGCCCCCTCCCCTAAGAAATCCTGGATCCGCGCCTGCCAGAGGGCCAATTAGCTACAAGTAGTACAGTGGGGATTTTAAAAACAGAAATAGCACGTATTAATATTTGTTCTTCTTCTAATTCCGATATTTACTTCAAGCTTGCTAATATCAACATTATTATTTGTATTCCCGATTTCTTTAGATTTCTTTGGATATATTGTTGTTGATTCTTAATTTGAGAAAAGGGTCATTATTCATAAGGGTCATCATTCATATTTAATGACCCCGATTCATAATCGAAAATGAGGGTTGCTATTCATAATATGAGAAGAGGGTCGTACTCGCTATAATACAAAATCGGGTCGAAATTCATAGGCCTATGGGTCCCTATTCATAATACGAAATAAGGGTCGCTATTCATAATACGAGAAGAGGGTTGCTAGTCATAAAATTACATAGCAAACAAAATGATAAGAAAGGGAAATGTTGGCTATGGCGTAGCTCTGGGGGGGCGACACATGGCCCCGAATATTTGTCGCAAACATTATGAAAATTTACTTTCGTGACAAGACGAGATAGTTTACAAGGAAACCACCTCATCAGGCCCATATAAATAAATATGAATGTCTGACATCTGACTGTCCAAGTCGTCATCATAAGCGTAGAAGGCGAGGGGAAATATTTCATAATGTAGATGTGTTTGTTTTATAATGATCTATCTTGTTTAATGACAATTCACGTCAGCCTTACTCCTCGTTTGTTTTGTTCCCTTTATTGTAATTTTTTATTTTGATTTGGCTATTTAATGTCATTGACTCTTTATATTTTGTGTGTGAACCTGTATGGATGCATACGTGTATTTGAATAATTAATACGTGTATTTTATCTGTTGCTTAGGATTTATCAGGTCTCGAATTAATTAATATTAACTTTCCTGAACCTGCATGCACATTTGTATTTTACATTCCGTTTTTTTTTTTTGGTGTTTGTTATGTATTCCTCATTATATCCTGCCCCCTTGTTGCTACGAGGAGGGCTAGATATCCCACCCCAATTATAAACAAAAACAAATTCATCACGGCATTTATTTTTATTTATTTTTCGCACTAGACCTTATCAAAACCTTCTGACCCATCACCACAAGGCGTCGCTAGACCTTTTTCAACGGGGCGGAGAGGGGGGGGGGTGTAGAGGCCACCGATTATCGACAAAACTAGCCACCCATATTATTACCGACAAATATACTAATACCAATGTCCCAATGTCAACACATTTCACCCTATAAACACGGGGCTAAGAGCTAAATTAACGTGTCAAAGATCTTGAAAGTTGTATTCATGATGTACGAAAATGGATGAATGATTGCTATCTCAAACTAAATGACGATAAAACAGAATTTCTCTTGTTAGGCTCCAGACAACAACTTTCCAAGATTGTTATAACTCATATATGTGTTGGTTCTGTGCACATTGCTCCTTCAGATAAGGCAAGAAATCTTGGTG